TAGCGGTTTCGGCAGCAATAGCCAGAGGTCTCAGCAAGAGCGCTCTAGCGTTACAAACTGACCTACAGATTTCTAGAATAATCCGAAGCAGCGTGCCACTTATAAAGCCTTTTTTGCAAAATGGTCTTCGTCCGTCAAAGCGCATGCTTGCTTCTGTTTTTGCTCAGACTATTAAATCTTCTTCAAAGACCAGAAATCCAGGAGTGACAGCTGTAGTTGAACGTGCTACTTTACCCTATCTGATGAAAATATGTGGATGTAAGTGCATTTTTTCTTTTGGCTCTGTTTGAAAAATTTGCTTTGCTTGACATTGTGTGTTAAGGACTAAATTTTTTTTATCCACACTGAGTTCTCAGAAAACTTTTGCAAGATATTTAAAATGTTTTTTTTTTGTGGCAAGAATAGTTACTTATTATTTTTTTAGTGGAGGTGGTAGAAAACGACTCATCCTCCTCTAAACAAAGTCAGTTGAAAGATGGCACTTGTTTTGGTTATGAGTCAAATGCAGTAGAAGCTGATAGGCTTGAAAACGATGTTGAAGATTCTAGAATGAATAATAGTTTTTCAAAGATTCGAACCAGGAAAATGGTAAGTGGCTATTGACTCGTTGGGGTGTCTATTATTATAGCTCAAAGAAGAAATATTTTTTACTGCTTATTATATTTTTCCAACTGCTTCTAACTTTTTTCTCTTGCTTGGTTGGAGCACAGTTATTTTTCATCATCTAGAAGATTGACGGTGTCACATTTTTTTCTAGACGTTGTCTGACTTAAGAAGGAAAAGTTTTACCAATTCGGAGGGATTGCGAGTTGAAGGTAGGTGTCTTGTCGTTGATGATGTTGCTCCCGTGTCTGTATTCTTTTTTTCTTGACTGTGTGTTATATGCTGAGTTATGTGAATTCACTTCTGCTTTAAGGTACTCGTTGTTTTTAAGCTAAATTTGAGTCTGTGTAATTCTTTACAGTTTGTTGCATTCTTGAATTGAAGCGGAAGATAGTTTTCATGTAATTTTTAAAAAGGTTTTTTTTACAGACTTCTCATCGTACGACCTTATCTATGAATCTGAAGAAAGTTCTACATTAACAGCGAAGTACACTAAGTTTGTTTTGGAGTGCCTGAAGATTACAGAGCAGCACCCAGTCTCCTTTGTTAACGTGGATTTTGATGCCGTCATGCCAAACTTCATATCTGAGGATTATCAAGCTGCATTGCGGTTGCGAAGATGCCTCGTAGGAATGGTTAAAGATTATCAGAACTTTAAGAAGGCTCGGTTCATCTACCGTGAACTCGCAGATGTTTTGTGCAAATTATACAAGGATGATAAGTTGCCACCTGAAAAGAAACTGTGTAGGGTGTTCTCTGTTGGTCTGAGGGAAAAACAGCTTGGTTTTTCTCCACCACCTATCAGTTTCCTTGTGAAGAACGCCTCTGTTTCAAACATACGAGAAGCTGTTGAAGGTTTCGTAATGCATTTTTGTGTTGTTGACTCGTTCTGTGTTGACTTTTGATTTTTCGGCTCTCTGTTTGTTAATATTGCTGCGCTCATTTCCAGAAAGTGGAATTAACGAGGCACTAGTTGGTCCATGTGGACGTGGGAGCTTCATTAATGTGAAGACAGAAGTGGATACCGACAACCAATGTGAGGAAGTTACAACGGCTTCTAGGACCGATAGCGCTTGCGTTTGTGTGAGTTCATCGTGCCCAGATCGCTCGGAAGAAGGTTTCTGCCACGTGTCTCATGGAAGGACTCGGATGAGCAATCGAGAGCGTATTTATGAACCTAGAAGTGTTTTTGACCCATTACTGGTTTGTTGCTCTAAGTATCAAAAATTTTTTTTGTTGTTGCAGCAGTTTTTTAGTGAAACTCTGGAGCTGTCTCTCCGATTATCTGTTCGTATTTTTTTGCAAAAACTTTTGACACATTTTAGGTGAAGGCAGAGCCAGGAAATGGTAATGGACAGACTGCTTCTGGAGGTAATTATTAATTATTTTTTTCTTTTAATATCTTACTTTCAAGTTGTTTGTATGAATTTTCACGTATATAGGTTCAAAGTCGATTTCACAGGCTAATGTTGGGGCTGAGGAAACGTATGGTTCGGTTAGTCATTTCAGTAATATTCTTGTTAATTATAGCACAATGAAGGCGTCGTTTTTTGCAAAGTAGATTTATGCTTTTTATGTGTTTTTTCACTAGCTGGATTTCTTTTTTATCTGGTTTGATTTCTGCTTCCTTGTTGGTCTCTGTAACCTTTTTTTTAAAATAGGTGGTGCGAACAAATAACGAGGAAGCAGGGACAAATACGACACATTTAGATGGAGTACGTGAAATTGAAGGTATTTTTGAAAAAGTTATTTATTTATGACCGTTTGCTTTTGTCTCATGTCGCTTTTTATTCGGGTTTTCGTTTTTGGTGTAAGTTATTTGAAATGTTTCAGATTTCACGTGTTTAAACGAGATCTATCCTCGCATTATCAAAAGCGGAAGGCATAGAAATATTTTAACAAAGGCCTATCGTCTTTCTATTGTGAAACGTCTTGGTGTGACAGCAGACTACCCAGATAGCTCTGCAAAATTAGACTTGGAGTCCGTGATACCTTTATTTGTGCCAAAACGGTTTTATCCTGGTCTTCTTCAAAAGATTACTAGAGTTGTCAAGGACCATCAGAGGTACGAAAGGGCAAAGAAAATTCGCTCAGTAGTAGTTAAAGACTTGGGCTTAGAGGAGGGGAAGCTTGCGAATGTATCGGAGGACGCTTTGAATGATAAACTGGCTGAAACCTTCAAAAAATTTGGTTGGACGACCAATATTCCTTCTCGTACGCACATACTCACCAAGATGCTGATGAGTTGCTTTTCGCAAGGGGCTTTAAACGGTCAGAATTATTCTTTTTGTTGAGCTTTTATCTCCAGTTTTTTAAAAGTAATTTTATTTTTTTTGTTGTTGTCAGGCTGTGCCAAAGTTGCATGCTGATGGCGCTAGATCGCTACGACTAAAATTTTACAGATACTGTTGACCATTATGAACAAAGTCAAAATTTGTCTCTTGAAGAAAACGAAAATTTATCCTATGGTGAACCTCTTGACGACTCACTCTACCGACATCTTAGTGACTCTCAGCCTCCTGAAGGAGCATCACCGGAAGATGTAGGGGTTTTTCTGTGGGAAATTCATTTACATCTTTTTGAATTTTATCTCTTTCTAGAATCAATGGACAGAAAGTTTCCTCTATTCTTCTCAAGACTCTGAAGACTCCATTGGTTTGGACATCAACAGTAAGTCATAATTTTATAGCACAAAGCCGGAAATGTCGTTTTTTTGAACCGCTACTGTCTTGTTCTATTTTTATTAATTGCAGAGTTTACTTGTTTTGGGGAAGTCTACGCACCTGGTGCAAAAAAAAATCTTCAGTTAAAGTTTCGACGAACTGCCATGTCCATTCTTGGTATCGATGCAAACTACCCAGAAAGTTTTGCTGATTTTGACGTGTCTTCCGCTGTTCCTTCCTTTGTTGAAGATGAAAATGCTCGTATTTGTTTGAAACGAAAAGTGCTTGCTGCTGCGAAACGGACCCAGCGTCATCTTCGTGCTCTCCAGGTCATACAACGAGCAGCACCATCAATAAAACAGATGCTCCAGGAGGGGCAGGAAATTACCGAAGAAAAGTTGAAACCAATGTACGAGTCGGTGCTGCAGTCGCTTAAATGGACCAGTAACTCTCCAAATATATCTTTAGTTCTTGACAGGTCATCACGGAGCATGGTTATGAGGATGATAGGTATGCATTTATTCCGGTTGTTTCTTACAAAATAATTTGTTTAGTAGACCTCTTCTTGATTAAACTATTCCGACTGTTTTTGTAGGAAGAACTGAATTAGATTTGCCGGCTGAGTCGAAAGGACAGGACACTCCCCAGGTTGCTTTTCTTTTTTGTGAAACAAGATCATAGTATTTTGGGGTCGAGAAACGCTAACTGCATGTTCTAATTTCAGGTGAGGTCAGAGACGTCAGTCTTCAAAAGGAATAAGCAGAAAGAGCTCAAGGGTTAGCATGTAATTCTTAGTGTCGAGAAACGTTTTGTTTGACTACTTTATTCTTTTAAAAGAGATCCTTCTCTCTTTAAGAGCTGTCCTCGTATCTCTCAATGGAGCAAAAGCTGATCTCAAATTTGTTTAGTTAATCATGTCAAAATAAGCGATAGTCCTCTATTAAAATTGCTGGCAAGGGGTTCATCAAAGAAGAAGATGAATCATCGGTCACCACCATCAGCTGTTGCACGGAAAAAAGTCAGATCGGTACTTTTCAAGTTAGATACTTCACAATTTGGTTTCGCTAGAATTCGGTTTAGTTACTGTTGTATTAAGGTTTCGTCCGAATCGATTCCGACTTCTTCCAATGTTGGCTCAAATGTCGCTGCTGGAGGCCCATTCGCTTCAAGTTTGTTTTTTTTTTTTTGCAACTTGCTGGTGTAGTTGTTTGGAATATTTTTGGTTTTTCATTTCTCTCTTTCCAGATAAGAAAAGAAAGATGCCAGTAGACGATGATGATGACAAGCTAGGTGTTTTGGTGAGTTAATTCGCTGTTTTTTTGTGCATGCATAATTTGATTTGCTTTGTATTTTTACTCTGCAGAGAAGAAAGAAGGAGAGCGATCATTTAACCTCCAGCGGTGCTAGCGAAGCGGATATTCAGGTTTCAATGCAATTCTGGTTCTTATTTGATTTGACTTCTAAAGCTATATGTTTGTGGTTACTTGTTATTTTCATAGTTAGAAATACGGTTTTATTAAGAAGTGCGGAAGTAAAAAACTTCATATTATGGTGCATCTGATTTAAGGGAGAACCTTCAAAATAGTTTTTTTATAGCCGTCTTGGCAGTTATATTCTTCCATGTC